GTTCAACACATAACCCTAGGAGATTGTGATAGGCACCTATAATTTAACCAGTTGATGCTGGATTGGCTTGAAGACGTGCCAAATCGGCTAGAGGAAATCTGATCAGATTAAGCGGTCTTCCTTATTGGAGGTTTCGTAAACAGACGCAACATGCACCATTGGTGTCTGAGCAACGGAGTTTTCCAGTAGAAATAATCGAGAAGTTTCAAAACTGAGAAAAGATCAGAGTCTGGTGTGGATACACAGCTTCACATTTCCTTGGCCCTTTTTGTGCTGCACGACACCATGAATTCTGAGTGTCACTTTGTCCATGCTTCAAGATTATGTGTTTCTGAATATTTCACAATGGCCCAACCGTGAGAATTTGTTCTTCATGCCGGATGGAGCACCACCTCACTTTGCTGGAATAGTGCGAGGGTGGGTGGATAGGACTAGTTGAGATGCCAGCGAGAAGCCCAGACTTAGCACCGTGTGACTTTTTCCTTTGGGGTTCGGCCAAGGAAGAGGTGTATAAAACCAACTCTAACACAATATCGGAAATTGGGCAACGTGTCAATGATGTGCTGACAAGCGTTCCCATGGCTTTCGTTGAGAACGCCGTTAAAAGTGTTGAAAAAAGACTTCCCAAATGGGCTGCCAATGATGGCTCTTGAGTTGAGTTATAAGACTTTCCTGAAGACTTGTAAATTTAGGGAATTGAAGAACGTTTTCTGTGGATAGGATTGGTAGTAATGATTGCAACAGCACAGCTCTTGTGTTTCTTCATCCGGAACAAATACAAGAAAACCAATTAAGCCACTCTAAAATAAATTACATGTGACACTTTTAACCCATTTATTTCAGCAGCGTCAACCTTTATTTTTTTAATTCAAATCTTCAAAACGACTGAATGGAACCATGAGTAATGTAGAACTGACATGCAATCTGTAAGTATGGGTATGCAGGTACCCACTCTGTGCATAAGCCACCAAGTATACACATACTGACCCAAAAATGCAAACACAACTAATTACATCCATTCATTATTGCACTTGCTGCATTGGGGACAAACCTGATCACAGAAAATAATTTTTTGCACGCAACGCGCAAGGCCTACAAAGCGATGCCTCTCTGTGCCATACAACCACATGACTTTTGGTATATTATACACTATATACCACTGGTAGGCTGACGGTGCGTGGCTAGGTCTAATAATCATTCGCTTAATATTTTCTTTATACATAGCGTTCCGGGCATTTTACCCCGTCGATCCGCCGCTCTGACCTTAGCCTCAGCTACCTTAGCCTTAAGCTCGATACCTACAAGGCTATGACTTTTTCGGCCATAGGCTACGCGAAAGGACTCATAAACGGAAATATCCGTTAGGGACACGCAAAGTGTTATGAATTGTCAGGTTGAACTCCTTCCTTGAAGACCGAAAGTGCAAGATAAGATACATAGAGTAAAATGAAACAGGAAGCACTTTCACGAGACTATGGCATGACTGAGCGAGGATGAGAAAACTTTTGGGACTGAAGAGTTACGGGAATCTGAAGAATCGAGAGATCAGTTCTTCGGGTGATAGGGCTTTCCTTGTGATCATGCTGCTGAAGAGTCGAATTTTACGTTGGAAAGTTGTCATCGCCTGCCTTACCTGCGAAATATATTCAGGTAAGGCCTACTTTTCATCCTACTGATATCCTCATTTTCAATTGAATATTTGGACCCCATGCGGCACAGTGCATCATTTATAAAGAGGAAAGCAAAGGTGAAAGATGCTCAGTTAATTACCATATTTATCTACGGACAAACGGTATGCGGGAACGGCTAGCAATTCATTCCCCAACTCACTCAGGAACGCCCCAAACTACACATGGCAATTCCTCAATAAGCCTATACTCACCTCGCCTGTAACAAATCTCAAAAGATCTCGTTACACGTATGTATGTAAGGGATTTTCCGACGCACCTTGCCTATACGCCGGAACCTCGACATTCCCTACCCCATTGTAATGTGCGAGGCCTACAAGATTCAGCCTATATAGGCCATAGGCTACTCGGAAAGATCCACAACACAACACTGATACGTCTAGCGTCAACGTTATATTTGGCCTATGGACCAGAGAGGCAGAGCCTTGTAGGCCTAGCGCGGTAATTGACACGAAACATGGTAGAATACTACACGATCAAGGGATTAATGATGACGTGTGGTGTGCACTGATCCTTAAAGTGAATGAGAGATCGTCGACGACGAACGAGTCTTGTCAGCAGAAAGTCAATTAAGTCGTTTAGGTACAACGTCCTAAAATTAGCATCGAATTCCATCACATGTGGAAACAGGCTTTCAGGACAATTGGAACTCTTTTCTGCCTGGGCCACCCAATTGGACGAGGAGGTTGTGGCAGGGTGCGGTCCCTGGCCCACGCGGCAGATTTGGGGTTGGAAGATTCGGTCGTTATATTAGGTCATTCATCAGACAGATCCCTAAGGATGGGTTTATAGCGCTCAAGCAGAAAGAATATGCACATGCAATCGAACCCCTAGCTCAGTGTTTCCCAAACTTTTTTGGGCCGCGGCACACCTATCTCACCCATGCGAACTTCGCTGTACACCAAGCATAAAATCATAACGAAGGAGCCTGATCTGTATTTAATGTGACACATGAGCCTGCTTTCCAGAACAGAGGCGCTTGATCCTGGGTGTAATGGTCGAAAGGGCAACTCTCATCTCGGGGTCGACGGTTGTCCCTTCTGCTGTTCTTGATGTGCGAGTTGAGCTTCTCTGCACTGGCTCACAAGTACGTGGTCGAAAATGGCAACAACGCTGAGACAGCACGGTCGGAGATTGTTGGATATTCATTTTTTATCAGTAGCCAAAATATGTCTAGCGGCACTTCCGCGAACTTCATCTTCAATGTGTGGTCCATTCTAAGTTCTGTAAGTTCCTCTTGAGCCTTCAGTGGCAGCTTCTTGGCGGATTCAAGCGAAGACGGACTGAATGGGTCCCGCACCCAGTCAAATTCTTCGAGGTTTGGCGACCGGAAATTGGAGCAGAATTTTTCATGAGGTGTGTCAATATGTTCTGCGATAATCTTCGGTAGCTTGCTAGCAGTGTCAGCTGCACTCGCCAGGGGGAAAATTTCGATTGAACCGCATGCCACTTGTTCACGCCATAGGGCTAGTTTTGCCATGAAACCGTCCAATATTTCCGTGCTTGTCAGAAGGTTTTCGTTTTTGCCTTGAATTTTCTTGTTCAGCTCGTTGAGATGTGCCAAGATATCCGCAAGGTAGGCAAGCTTCGCGGTCCAGTCTTCTTCGGAGATTAAGTCTGTGTATGGCGATTCTTGCAAAGTTAATCTCATTCCGGAGTTCACAAACACGAGGTAGAACTTTGCCACGAGACAACCATCGCACTTCATTGCGCAGGAGCAAGGATTGATGTTCTGCTCCCATCTCATTGCACAGAACGGAGAAGAGGCGAGAATTCAGAGGCCGTGATTTTACAAAATTCACGATCTTCACAGCTTCATCTAACACTGACTTGAAGCCCCTCTGGCAAAGTTTTAGCCACGAGGGCTTCACGGTGTCGAACGCAGTGGTTCACCTGTACATCGGCGTTTCGCTCACGGACCTTGGCCACAAGCCCCTTCACATTGCCTGTCATCGAAGCCGCGCCGTCGGTGCAGATACTAATGCAGTTTTCCCACTGCAAATCATTTTCCTCTCAAGGTAGTCATTCATGACTCGAAATATTTCATCTCCAGTCGCATGCTCCGGTTTGCAAAATAAGAAATTATCTTTGATTGAGTCAACATCAACATATCTGACGTTTGCGATGAGCTGAGCGCGACCGCTAATGTCTGTCGATTCGTCGACCTGCAGGGACAATTTTCCGCTTAACTTCAGTTTCTCTCGTAGCACTAACTCGATACCAGCTGACATTTCATCGATACGCCGGCTTATTGTGTTGTCTGAGAGGCACTTTCGCTACTTCTTTGGCTGCATCAGGTCCCATCATAATTCTCACAATTTCTTTGCAAGCCGGTAAAATCAATGTCTCGGCAATATTGTGAGACTTCTTTGCCTTCGCTAGTTGAGCGACTAAGATAGCTTGCTCCCTGTGCCTTGTCTGAAACCCTAACAGAATCCCTCATGAAAAGAGTTTGCTTCACATTCTGCTCTTTCGAGCGCCTAAAGTATTGCACGTCCTTGCCGGCGAGAGACAAATGTTTACCTGCGAAATGGCGTTTCAACTTGCTTGGCACCATCGCGTGGTTGCTCGATTTCTCCCCACACAAGGCATTCTGGTGTCGGATAAGACGCATTGGTAGACCACGAAAATCCGTAGGCCAAGTAACTGTCACTGTTCTGACGTATCACTGACTTAATCCTAATCTTCTAGGCTCCATTTGATTCGATATTCTCGGAGGCAGACGCAGAGGTCGGAATATGTCTCTTCTGCACAAATCTGTTCATGTTTCTAGAGTGATTCACAGCAGCAGAAATCGCACGGCATACAGCCTTGCAAGTTAGCACGTCAGTCACGTAGCCTCAGCGACACTTGTTCCTGCGGTGTTGCCTAATAGCTTGAAGGGAAATTTCTCCCATGATTAACAGTTTCCTCGGCTGGGTGGCAATCTTAGAAAGATCTGAATCAGAATGGAATGAAGAGGAAGTCGATTCCTTATTTCGACTTGGTACCACTTCTACCTACTCTTTTTATGCCTACTCCTGTTGATGTTGAATTCTTCCTAACAGTTTCTGACGGCTTAGGAGTCGTGTGGATTTATGCCTATGCACATTTCTGGGTTGTGTCCGTAGGTCTATAGGCAGAACTCCACACCAACGGAGATGCGTGCGTAGGTTTGCATCCACCACGACTCCGAGGTCACCAAAACGCTTCTGGAGGAATTCTCCTTCTACAGGGATAGTCATAAAAGGAACAGACAAAAGGATGCGGGGAAGTTAATGATGACACATGTACCATACTGAAGGACAGCTTCATAACAGGCACTGGGGACCATCAGGAGAAAATCTTCGGCTTATAAAGCTGCACGATTCGATCTGTGAACCTTCTGACGTCAATTGCGCCAAGCAAAAGGTCGTCCTCGGCTTTGGAGATTCCGACCTTCCTCTGGATGTATTTGTTGCTCGAGTTATCTCCTGGGGACGCTTTCTTCCTCAAATGCATTTCATCGATGTTCTGTTCCTCCTGAGAATAAAAAACAGGCCTCAGCAAGTATGTTCTCATCTGATTGCTCACTCTTTGTTATAGGAGAAATATAAACCTTCAAGAATTTAATGAATTCAAAGAGGTTTGCCCTTCTCTTGATTGCCCGATTCAGTTTGCTATGCCATGCCTCTACGGCGTTGTTTGTCCTGCTGCCGTTTTTTCCGAAATGGGACCATACGGAACGATGAAATCGAGGATTTATATCATCAATCCACGTTTCAACCAAATAGTCCAGGAACTCCTGGACTCCAGATAAGGATGGTGCTTCTGCAATAATCCAAAGGTAGACGTCATCGATGCTTTCCAACGGGATGAAAGGGAGAGCCATAATTCTTCTGATCGACAGCTTCACTTCTTTGGACTTCATGAAAGGTCCTGAAATGCCATGTTCCTGGACCTTCCTGTATATGGCCTGCAAGAATAAAGGCAATTAGCATTTCATATCTCCAGAAATCAGTCTAGATATGAAAGTATTCTTTGGCTTACCTGAGTGAAGTGAAAATAGCAACCTTTGACCATCGCAGAAGGGAAGATCAGCTGTAATGTAGTGATGACACCTCTCTCAAAGTCCAAGAGAAATAACTTGGGACTGAAAGAAAGGCCTGCCTTGGTGCAAATTTCCAGTAGAGCTTGAAATAATTTGCGATAGGTGTCCATGCGCTTGTCGGGGAGAAAAGCAAAGACAACTGGCATGGAGAGTGATCCTTCATGAGATCCAATTTTGCCTCTTGGAGTGGTGACGTAGTGAGTAAAGTTGGACAAAGGGTTGAGGAGCCACTGAGAATGTCCCATCCATGAACACTTCGTCTGCTTTGCAGAGGCGATCCAAATTTTCGGTGGTTGCGAAGATGACAACCTTACTGCTAGAGGAGGAGGTCTGAAAAAACTGTCGTCCGTCCAGCGTTAATTCCCAATCGCCAGTGATGCGAACATCCTCCAGAGATGTCGGTGCAGGAGGTACAGTCTTCCGCCTCCGTTTGACAAACCGGATTTGATGGTTTGGAAAGGGGGCGTGAATTCAGAAGCATCGGGATCGTCCAGGTGACGTTTCCCTGCTTCCTCCCTATTGATATAAACACCATGAAGAACGCAGACAGTAGAACAGTCCACTAGTATTGATTGCACTATTCATAGTGTTTAATGTAAATATGTGAAACCCACGTGAACACAATAACATTCTCTTCTAAGTAATATTAATACTATCCTCTAAGCTATGCTGCAATCTTACCGATAGATGAGAGGGATGGATGTATGAGGTTCCGCCGTCACTCGTTCACGAATTTTCCAGGTTAGGGAGTCACTATGTAATTGTTTGGCTGCCTCCTCCTTGGTGTGGATCACATGAGGCTTACCTTCGGTCACGTTTTTTCCTTGAGTAGTTACAGTGGCAAGGCATCCGACATATACACACTTCCAGTAAGTCTTCTCCCGTTCTCGTCTGTTGAGGCGGAATAAAAATCCCTTATGTACTAGCCGCTCGCCACCTCTAGGTCCTTTCACGATCTGAACGGGCGGACTATCCATTTGATAACTGCACATTCAAGCTCTTAGACTGGGGCTTTATATAGGCAGAATATAGGAAAACTTGCTGAGATCTGATTTATTTTTTGTTTCGAGAACACTCAGGGAATGTTTTCGATGTCCTTTCTGCAATAGTGTAGGCGAAATTCCTCGATGCCGTGCTGGAGAATGTCCGTATGCCTACAGTTCCTGTGCCTTCTCGCCTACCACTGTAGATGAACAGGAAATCGTCATGAACAGCTCCACAACGCCGTGTACTTGAACCTATAGGCACGAGTACGCCGCATTACGCCTCCCGTAGGCAATTTTCCGCTGAAATCTATAGGCGCTTCTCTTTTCGGGGTTCTTTTTCGGGCATATGAGGTATTCCACTCGCACAAGTATACTATCCCCTTATTTCTTGGAAGGGAAACGAGATAAACAAAGTACGCTTTCTCAACCAGAGAAGGACCTTCATCTCCAGCAGATGACTGGCTTCAGTGCTGAACGTGGGTTGTCAATTACGACAATAAAGGTCTTGCATTTGCTTTACCCAGGAGGGGAGATTTGTTGAAGTGAATTTCTATCGATTTTCTTTCGTTCTGGCCATCTGATTAAGCATAAGTTCGCGCCCGATTGGTTATGCATGGATTGCGCATTTCCACCGCTAAACTCTTGAACTTGTCAATTACGTATAATAACATTAGGCTTTGGTAGCGCCTATTACCTTCTTCAATCCGTTCCAGTAACAAAAACTCAAGCTCCTTGTATTCCTCTCTGAGAGCATCAACAGGAACGAATTATGGCAAGTTTCTTCCTCTCCCAACACAGAATCACTCAGCAAATGTGAAGCTCTATTTCCCTGGGGTTATAGAGAAAATGAATCTCGCTTCATGTATATGTGAATTTCATTGTTTATTTCCTCCCCCCCCCCGAGTAGCCACTCATGGGAAATTTTTGGAAGAAAGAGACCAACCATAAGAATTAAATTGACTCGTGGATGACGAAAAAAGCCATTTTTTTGTTTGCGATGCACCACTTCGCCATAAAAAGTGAAAATAGCTGTCTTTCATTTGAATTTCAGGTGCTGGCTCCTGTCCCGTCTCCCACTGTTCCCGGATGTCGGACCGCCATTGTGCAATTATGCTTCGTATCGGTAACTGGATTTTGTTTTTCAATGTATGATCAATTTTTGCGCTGAGTTCATGGAATGAGCTGATGATGAAGCAGTGATTCATCATTGCGGTGGGATATGGAAATATATTACCCGGACATACCTGAATTACCAGGATGGCGTGCACCATGAGGAGTTATTTTTTTCAAACACCCTGTACACAGCCCATGCCAACCAGATAAGACTGCCCATAGATAAGGAGGCTGGTAAAGAAACTCGTCTGCCTATCGACTACTCTTGGGCTCAGTCCTGTTCTCCCAATATAAAGATTATGAGGAACACCATCAGCGCATCTCGGGTGCCCCATCTGTGAAGTTCATCTTAACCCTTCTGTACTCGTGTCGTTTTCATCCCCATTTTTAGTTCTGGAGGTTGGAAAGGAAATGCCCCACGCAACAACGGCAGGCTTAACCGTGCCCATGACATTGGGGGTGTGAGAAGACATTTTCATTCGTAAGTCATAATAATTATTCATTTAGCATCGAAATCCTAGTAAAATAGTGCAAGGGGAAAGAGGTAATTGTAACGACAGTATGAATATACTAGGGTAAGTCAGAAAGTAAGGTTCTCATTTTTTTCCTCGCCAAACTAACCAACATCTGCTGCTGTGAAACCCCCGCATGTTAGTACCAAATAGTGTCACTAAGTGGCAACAGCGACCACTGTTACAAACCCGCGCTGGTATGCGAAGAGTCGGAGCGAACATGGCGAAGGTACTTCACGTGTATACGAAGCTGGAGGCCCGAGCAGCAATTCGGTTTCTGTGGGCACAGAAGACCCAACCGGTGGAAATCCACCGACAGCTTGTGGCTGTGTACGGCACGGATGCCCTGTTGGTGCAATATGTGAGGAAATTGGTGCCGTGAGTTCGAAATTGGTCGTGTGACTGTTGTGGATGAGGAGAGAAGCCCAGCGATGGGCGTCGATGGACGCCCATCGACATCATCCGACGTTGTCGATCAGATCGATGCCGCTGATCGAGCAGACCGACGTTTGTCTCTTCAGAACTTGGAGCAGTCTTTCAGACTTTCACACGGCTGTGTCTGGCACATTGTGCACGACCGTCTAGGCTATCGGAAAGTCTGCAACAGATGGGTGCCGAAACAATTGTTCGACGGCCACAAGCAGGAACGTATGAGAGCGTCGCTCGAAAACTTTCTACGATACGCGGAAGAAGGCGACGACTTTTTGTGTCGCATCATCACCGGCGATGAGATATGGGAGCACCACTATACTTCAGAGACAATGATGGAATCAATGACATGGTAGCACCCCGGTTCCCCTGTCAGAAAAAAGTTCAAGACAACGCCGAGTGCTGGAAAGGTGATGGCAACCATCTTTTTGGACGTTCACGGGATCATTCTCATCGATTTCACTCCACGTGGTGAGACAATGCCGCAGCGTATCCGTTGACACGACTGAAACAAGCGGTTCGACAGAAGCGGCCTGGACTGCTGTCGCAGGGAGTGCTTCTATTGCACGATGATGCCCGCCCGCACACTGCTCGCACCGCGATGGACCTCAGCAACTGGCGATTAGAAACTGTTCGCCACCCACCATAGAGTCCAGATGCGGCGCCGTCGGATTTTCACTTGTTTGGGAAGCTGAGAAGCATCTCCGAGGACGACGTTTTCCATCGGATGATGCCGTCAAAGAGGAAGTCACAAAGTGGCTTTAGGAACAGGACGCGCCTTTCTATCGGCAGGGCTTCGATAAGCTGATCGACCGTTACGACAAATGTCTCAACAAGTCTGGTGACTAAGTGGAAAAAGTAATGAACGTATATGGAGACATTTCCTGTATATTGTCTTCGGTATAATTACCTGCCTACCGAAGAAATTAAATAGAGAAACTTACTTTCTGACTTACCCTCGTAATTTGGATGTGACGTTTTTACTTTTGGTTTAGAAACTATAAATGTTGCCGTGACCAATAGGCATCATGGAATCCCAATATCTGTGATAAAACAGAAAACTGAACAGCATTTTGAAGTAACTACCCTTGCCATTGTAAAAGGCGTTCATTCACGCAGTGACTGAATCTGCGGGAATTAAGAACTTGACAAGGAAAACATTTTTCATCCAAAAAGTTGCATAAAATGAAAGGTAATGACATCTTAGCAACAACAAAGGTAATTACGACAATGGCTCATTGATCTCATCTCTATCCAGCCTGTAGCTTCCGACAACAGCCATGGACGCGGCAGCTGACATCCTTGTTCGCTACGAGGAAGCCTTGCATTACATCAACATAGATGCTGTCTTGCTTGGCTTGAGGGTCCAGGGCATTGTCCACCACCACGAATATATTGATGTCGTGAACAAGGCCAGGAGGGAAAAAGTGTTATTTCTCCAAGAAGTATTGTCTATGGGAGGAGACAATGCATTTCCAGCTTTCATTCAAGTACTTCACAAGAATCATCACGTCGACCTTGCCAACAGGCTAAATGAAGGTGAGTGTTGAAGAACACCGTTGCCCCAAAAGTGTGTATCTCATCAAATGTAAATTTTGACTGTAATTGACATTGTCTGACAGGTTCGTGGTAAGAAGGATTAGGAATGGCATAGACGCACAGTTGTTGGTTGTAGTAGTTTTTCCTTATGAATTTCGGGAGTGCGAAACTCTTATACGAAGACGGAAAACATTAGCATCTTGTAAGAATGGCATAACTATAGAGCAAAGAGAGGATGTGTACATATGAATCTCAGGGGAAATTTGATATTTCAGCAGTAATTGTGCACGCATTAACCTAAAATCGCCATTACATTACAGAGTGGAAAAGGAGGAATGAGGGACATGGGGCAAGCTCAGGGGAAGGAGGAAGAGATGTTGGACCAAACGAGATGCCTCGTGCAACTGAAGTAATTCCTGGTGCACAGAGTGGAAGCACCGCATCGTAAGTTCACAACTGTCATTCTTCAGGCAGGGGTCTGTCTGAACAAAGACCCCACTCCCTTTGTTAATATGGAGCCCGGGTTCCCATTGAAGCGATACATTGACACAGTATTGTATATTCCATTTTTCAGTGTCATTCGAAACTTGATCTTAAGAAAGTGGCATGCATATCCATAGAAAGACAATAATGTTTAATGAGGGAACATTAGGTTTCCTATTGCCAATAGGTCTGATGTATGAAGCATGAAGAAAATCTCAGAGTGTGTGTAGTTCGGTGTAGTTAATGGGAAAAAAGTTATCCTTGCCCTTTGGAGTTTCACCTGCATATAAACTACCAAAAATGGACCCACTACATGTGTTCAGTATTTGCACTGGGAATATAAATTTGCCACAATCCTAGCCTGTTTACATGTTCGAAAACAAGTCCTCGTTATTGTAAGAATGAAATATTCAGTTCCCCCACTGAAGTATGATATATGAAGAAAATTTCTTGCCTTTTTTGAAGTACAAAACTTTTAAATTGCTGAACAAGAAACTTTGAGGCATGTCCATTGCACATCAACCTCTGATATAGAAGATCGCAGTTTTGCTTAAAACATTCTACATTGGTGCAAATTTTGAGGTATCTGGAAAGCTGTGAAGATACCACATTTTTTATAATGTGCCGAGGAATATTACTGTGTTTAAAAGGCAATGAAAGAAAATCAAAATTAATATCTCTTCTTTTGTCATAAATATCGATCTCTGCCTTCTCTGCTACATTTATGCTAATGTTTAGGTCTAAGTAGTGCCCTGTTTTGAAAGGGGGCTCACCGGTTTTTTCGAGTGACAAACATCCTGGGTAAATGCTGCAAGTGTGCCAATTTTCGCCAAATTCCGCAAGTGTGCCAATTTTCCTGGCTTTGATACATCTTCTATCTGCTATTCCACAGTATGCCACGGGAGTATTCGAAAGATACCTTCATCGTACGATGACAGCATATTAGTAAATTTGAGGTCTTCAAGTATTAGCATGGAGAATACTGACCTGACGAAGGGAGCTGCCATGTTGGACGGGTTCGCTGGCTCGACCTCGTCGAACCAGCGAACTTTATTCTGTAATCCGGAGTATTCCAATAACCGAAATAATACCTCTGTATTTCTCCTTCATGCATCAAGCAGCTTTTAAAATGTATACCCTGAAGTACAGTACCCATATTTGCGCATTTGGCACTATTAAGAATACGTTTTGCGTATTACAATATTTTGCTACCTTGTTTTTCATTATTTTTGAACTTGCGGCTGAGAGATCTCAAACTACCGAGCTAGTTCAGCTTGCGCCTTTTCGTCCTGATGGGCGTTCAGAACTGCGATCTTTTCGGCCAAGTTTGAGGTCTTGCCTTTTCCGCAAGGTCAACTCGGAATGAGCAGAACTGAACCCTATAGGCTCAATTCATATTTCAGGTTAACTTTCACTTTCGCCTTAAAAAAAAAGGCTGGATTATTTGCCTCTTTTCAGCATCTGCAGCCTATACTTAACCCCCCCCAATTTTTCATGGAAAGGATGGTCTTGCCTTCCCTTATGTTCCTTCCCTCGGTTCACGGAAGAATCAAGTGGGAACTCGTGACCGTGGTTCTATGAAGCCGGACGGTGGGACTGGGGGAAGGGCCGTAGGGGACATTCCAAGAACGCGAATGGGAAAAATAAGCATTTTGTATTACAGTGAACTGAAAAAAAGTATTCCACGTTTCAGGAATGTTTATTCCTTTAAGCGGAATATTCTCATAACCATATTCCTCTGTGCCACGTTTTTCATAATGTACCTTATGGTGGAAAAAAGGGAACATACACATATATTCCATTAAGCGGCATTCAATTAAACGGAGTCGACTGTATTACCAAAAGCATTTGACTGGAATTGTTTTCTCTTTAGTGTTAAACTTTTGGTTTATGTGAGGTGAGGTTAGGTTAGGATAACTAACTAGTGGACTAGTCCACTAACACAGTGGACGCCTGATTTGCACAACCCCCGTTCGCTGTCAAAGGCCGAAGCATAGAAGAAATGCGAGTCACTTGATCTATATTAATGTTTAGTTCATAGTAGAACGATTGGGTTTATAGCGGAAACTAAAATTAGCCGGTGGGACGTTAGCCTTAGTATCGAGTCTCAAGGGATGATACTTTTGTGCGGGAATTCGGAGATAGCAGTGGCATTTATTGTTTCCAGAAAATTGGGCGTTATCGACCTCCGTCCGATATGGCAGCTCCCTTCTCCAGTATTATCCATGGAGTATGATGGAAATACTTGAAGACCTCCAATTTCCTAATGTGATGTCATCCTACGCTAAATTTGTCATCTTTCGACTCCTCCCATAGTACACTGTGGAATGATATATAAAACAAACCTGAATCTCGCAGGCACCGAACTGAAGCGCAACCGACGCGGTTCCCGTCAAGCTCACAAGATGCAACTACGAACTTGATAGCTAGAGCTTCTCAGAATAGCGAGTCACGAGGTTGGTTCCATTATATTCTTACGAGACCTAATGTGTCGAAAGGACACTCTTTTATGATAAAAAAAGCGTGATTAAGAATTTGAATAAAACTTGTCCTGCAGGTTGTCATGTAATTGCGGATTTCGTACTTTCGAGGCTACGGTTGCGCATAATTTGAACAGGTGCACCCAGAGAGCAGAAAAACCTTAGCCTTCTCTAACCTCTGGGGAGGTTAAAGATGGCTAAAGTTTCCGAGGTAGTCGCGGGACAAACAACCAACTTCTTTTAACCCTTTCATGGCGTATGATCATTATAAGGATCATATCTTTTCAGACTACTCTTGCTGTTACCATTGAACAAAACCTGTTTTATATGGTACTGCTTAATAGCTCTTGAAAGGGGCTCTTGGGTGATGCATCATTCGTTCAAATAGGTTGTAATTCAGGGAAGCTGGATCAAAAAGAAAAGTGACCCGATATGTTTGATTTTTTTGTGAAATTGAATTTTGGACATAAAAGTAAGAATTATATTCCTTTTTTTGGAAATGGAAAAATATGCCCGCATGCTGCAAGAATGGACGGATAAAATTAGGACTAAGGCCATGTTTAAGGGGCTCCTCAGGTATGAACAATGGCCTGTTTTTTTTAAAGTAAATAATTCAGTTTTTGAATTTATGGGTAATTATTTGAAAATTTCTGCAAACTCCATCTTTAGCTAGCCCTGTTCAATAGAAAAAACTTCCTTGTTATTCGTTTTCTTAATTCAGCCATAAAGGGTTAACTATAAAATCTCCGCTCACAATATAGCTATTTTTGCGAAGGTTTCCCTATGCATTCATGAGCATGTTTCCAACTTATCCTCAAAATTTAATCAGAATTTGATGTAATACAATCCGCAGGTTTGAAAGTAAGTTAGATATTGAGAATGGACAAGAGCTTCTGCTGGTAGTGGAGAGGAGGGCTGTCGAGCTCTTCTAGTCATCAGGACATTGTCGATCTTCTTTCTGATCCTAAGCTAATGAAGTCTCACAACCTTCTCGACTTTCGAATGAATCAAATCGGGCTAGATTCTCAATAAATTTTGTGAGACATGGGTGAATCAATCTTTAGGTACCACTCGAAGCCGTTGATCTTGTTGTCCTACCTAGCAGACTCAGGCAGACGGTAATGAAAGGAAAATTTTGAATTCATTCATTGATTTATCTGTTATCGGAAAGAACCTCATGAAAATATATGCAAGGAATGACTAGGGTAAATATGACATTTAATGAATGAGGAGTTTGACTTGGTTTTATGACCAAGATGGAGTGCGCTCCTGCGTTCCCTCAACTCCACTCGCAACAGAAACTCTTTTATATTCTCAATGTCTAACTCATTTTTCAATACTTGCTGATGGCATTGCTTCAGCGCAAAAAAAATCTGATGAAACTTTAAAGAAATGTTGGAAACATACAAGCATGCATGATTAAAGTTTCGCCAGAATTGTTCTTTTATGAGCGGATAGGTTTTAATTGAAAGTTTTTTTTTTCCACTTTGTTTTACGGTATTCTGTAGGATATGTTCAATATATTATTATTTCCAGTTAAGGGAATATTTTCAAGTAGATTCATGTAAGCATATTATGCATGTTTGCCATGAACGACAACTTTTGTCGTTTATGATAATTAAGAGAGGAAAATTCGGAAGACAAGAGAGACAAGACAAGATTAAGAAAGTACAGCTAGTGAAAAACATTTAAGTAAGAAAAAGAGCGCCGAGGAGGGCAAGTCGAATAATTATTGTGCGGTTGAGTCTACTTGTGAGCTGGGTTTCTGAGTCAAGAACCTCGCTCCCTGCTGGAATATAGCAATCATTACCTCGCCTCTCTAACCCTTAATGTTGTGGGTTCCATTGGTGCTAGTGGACATATCATATTTCGAAAGCATGTATTTCACAATATTCATTAATTCGGAATATGTATGTAATGTACTTGCAATGAATAAAAATATACCTTTGACGTACAAGTCACTCCGATCTTCTTTATGGGAAGGCAAATTCTATATCGTACCAGTTTCACATAAAATGTGGTTTCATTCTCTATAAGACTAAAGAGGCAACATATATAATGTTCAATAATGAGCAAAATGTATATTTAAAAAATAATTGAAATGCATGATTTTGATTTGGCAAAAATAAGGATATGATCGCTAGCATGTATTGATTATCAGACGTGATAATAAGCTTTTGCTAACTGTTCCTAAAATTGATCAAACTCTGGTAAAATGCATGAAAAAGTATTGCAAAAGACCCTATAAATCCACCAAATTTCATGCAAATGGAGGGGATATTTTCAATTTTTGTAAATACGTAATTTGAAACGGCCCATTCGCGTTTTGAAAAGATTCGAATGAAAGGATGAATTTCATAATGCAACATTCGCGCACATTCTAATCGTTTTCTATTTAGAGCGTATCTAATTTCGCGTATCTTAAGAAAATTGCATTATCTGAAAAACCACATGACTTCAGTGTGCGGGAAAATGTAATGATATATTTTTCTTTGTCGTGGCAGACCTGAATGTGGAGAGACCTGGAGCTTCGGAACCCAATCGAAAAAGGGCTTTCATAGGTTACGTGAAACAGTTCCAGCAACAATTTCAATCGCGCAAAGATTTAATCGTGGCATCTATCGCGGTTCTGTTTGCAATCGGCGTGTTCCTCTTGGTTTCGAAGGTATCATTGGCGAGTGTGCCTGCAATTAGTACAGTGGATCATTCTGGTATACTGATTTTCAGTTCCTAAAGACTGTTTTCTGATTGACATATAGAAAAAAACTTTATGTATTTTATTATCAGGAGCGGCATCAAATACTGGCCACAGTGGTGAGAAAACACCGTCTCGAATACAGGTCGGTTCTGTTTTAAATGCATTTGTCAAAACGATTACATATAAGGAACCCAAGTCCGTTTTTCACTTAATGAGCATTTCAATCATCCTGTACTGACTCGTTTTCTTCTGCCTGATGTCCTATAGCTAGGGCACTTAGTGAGAAATGAAAACGTCCAATTGGTATGATAGAAAAGTTGCATTTTTTGTTAGGAATTATTATATATGTTGATCAATGTTGTGGAAGGCGTCATTTTCCTGTTGTGTTCCCATAGAAGAACATTTTGGAACAACTTTAATGATAAATAAATGAATAAGGTTTCTCTCTCTACATACATTCCAGTACGAGATTCCTATGGAGCTAAAAAGAAATAAGATTGGTGATACTGAGACATTCACATTGGTCTTATATCTGCCAGCAATATCAAGAATTCCGTTTGCTAAGAAACTCTTTCTTCTATTTGGATCCTATAACAGTTTTTCATTCTACGACCCAAATATTCTTCAATCCTAACCGTCAGGCAATGTGAATGTCTTCAAGATGTGTTTCAAGGAAGATCGTGACATTGGAACTAATATGATAACTATTTTGTACTGGCAGATAAACGAGGAGCAGGAAACATGGGACTTGATCAGGGCGAACCGTCGGAAGCTTCGGGATGATTATAACTTGGACTTTGAGGAGTTGCTTCTAAGTTTGAGTGAGAAGAAAGTCTTCACGGCCCCCGAGGAAAAGCAAATACGAAGCAAAGAAAATCGAAAGCTATTTGACGAGCTCTTCGAAATCCTCGTACACAAGAATCCAAAAAAATTCATACCCGTCTTTCTGCACACACTCACTGAAATTGGAAGGCAGGATGTGAGGGATTTCTTGCTTTCTCAACCGGACAAGATATCGGCATAGTTGACGCATTTTCTCCTTGGAAAAATTATTAATCGGGCTGGCTAATAGAATTATCTATCTAATATTTGAATGAGTCACTATGAGTTTGATGTTATTCTTCGTCATTTTTGCCGATTCTACACACAGCACGTGTATGGTAAGGAAATAAAAAATGGTAAAGTTACCAGTCCAAAAATCACCCTCAAGACCTGGTTATATTACCGCTCAGGATGATAATGTCTTGATAATTAAACGCTAGAGGTGGTTTTTGGACAGTCAACTTCACCGTTATCTTGATTTCAAAAGATGTCATTGTTATTTTTATACACAAAAGAAGTTAAAGCAGGTAATGCCACGTACTTGGTGTAGCACTGGTGCTTAGAAAGAACGTAGAAATATCGAGTTGAATCCCTGACATTTATGGCATAGAAAACTTTGAATAACTTATAAACCGATTAGCAGGAAAATATTAAGTTAGTCCGATTCTATGGACTAAAGATTAACTTTATTCCTAAATAATGGTCCCTGTACTGCAATGACAGGGAGGTAATTTGAATAGCCACTAGAACTCCAGGCTAATTTTATAGTTTTACATTCAGGAAGTTCTCAGTCTCACTAAGAAACAACGCATGCACAGATATTCTTTTACTATTAGTCTTCCATCTTAAGACCACAATGCTCGATGTCTTGCTCCCAGCAATCATGTAACATTCTGAGACGGAAACCATACAAATGAACTTCTAGCTTCTTTCATTCTTACACAGTCAACTTAAGCTCATTGTCACCAAAACGCCTCTCTTGAAAGTTATTTTCTCAGATTTTGCAAACACGTAAAAGCCAGTTGGAGCCATGAATATACGAGGGTCACCCCAAAGTAATGCTCCCGATTTTTTTCTTACAAGTGATTTATCACAATTGAACACAAGTACACAGTAATATCATAGTTAGCAATAACATGATCTGTGAAAATTTCTGTAGACTTATTTTTCCACATAGTCCCCATTACGTTCCAGACATTTGCGCCAGCGTGAAAGCAGTGCCATTATACCGTCGCGAAAGAAAGCTTCATCTTGTTGGTGCAGCCAGTGACGAAACGCCTTATCCTCCTGGGGGTGAAACCACGAAACTTCGCCAGCAGCGGTGGAAAACAATGGATTCAATGCTGGCGAAGCGCCAATTTCAGTTGCAATTAAGCATTACTCAGAAAAGTGTCGGGAGCATTGCTTTTGGGGTGACCCTCATAATTCAGAAACAGAGTTATCACCAGCATATGGCCTATGGAACAGAGGAGCAGAGCCTTGTACGCCTCGCACGGTAGTCTGATACGAAACGTGATAAAACACCACGCAATCAAGGGATTAATGACGGACGTTGTGTAGTGTGCACTGATCCTTCCTTGAAGTGCATGAGAGATCGTCGAAAACGAACGGGTCTCGTCAGGAGAAAGTCAATTAAGTCGTTTAGGTACAACGTCCAAAAATTAGCATCTAATTCCATTAGATGTGGAAACAGGCTTTCAGGACAATTGGAGCTCTTTTCTGCCTGGGCCACTCAATTGGACGAGAAGGTTGTGGCAGGGTGCGGTCCCTGGCCCATGCGATAGATATGAAGTTGGAAGATTCGGTTATCATATTAGTTCATTCATCAGACAGATGCCTAGGGATGGGTTTATAGCTTGAAAGAGGGATGGGGATGCGCTTGCAATCGAACCCCAAGGCTATCATAATCATTTCCCCCTTTGGTTCAGGTCTATGCTGCCTTGACTTACGACTGAGAATACCCTCATCATTAATGTGATTCATACTTGCCGAAAAGAAAATGGAGTCTGCGGTAGGTTCTGTTTCCACTGAGCTTCAGATGGTACATTAACATAATGTACTATCATCCGGGAACTGCGAACTGCTACTCCGAAGTGTCATGCAACGACGGCGGAGCAAACATCATCTGCTTACCATGGTTAAACAATTCACACAAGTTTGGACGAGTGAGATTTCCTTTATTCAAGGTCCAAACAGCTTATAATTACTTGAATGAATAAAAAATCGGGCCTGGTCTGGGAATGAAAAAGCTAAATGGATGGGGATTCACCCCATTCGCATCCACAATCATACCGTGTTCCTCCCCCTAGCCTGTGGCCTAGGTGGACGACGTTCACTTAAGCAATATTCTCGGCCATGAAAGCCGAAAAATTCCTGCGGTAGGGTTGGGTGCAGCGCATATTTACTTTTCCCTTTGTCCACATTCGTAAAACATTCATAAAAACATTACAATGTCGACGAGCCAGATCTATGCAAAGAAACCTCCCAACTGATCTGCAAGAGGCAACGCGAGGATAGGGAAGTTAGGAGGGGGAGGTGAGGTGGAGTGTAAAAAGGGGAGAGGTTTTTGGAAGAAATGGCTTTCACATTTCTTCCCGATTAGCAAAGCATACCTAGATGCTGACAGTTCCATGGAATATACTAGCAGGTGGTCTCGTGACTTGATGCGTGTGGTTATGAGACCCATCTCAAGGTATTTATCAAAACTTAATATAAAATACAACACCCAAC